ATGGTTTTGCAAGCAAGCTTGCTGTTGAACGGTATATCCAAACAGCATTTCCTGGTGCAAACATCAATGAATTTTTTGCATCATTCTCCTGGAGGATCCCAGCACAAAAGTCGTCGTTGGCAAATGGTCAGCCGTAATCAATGTTAATTTTCTTTCCTCAAGTTTTGTGCCTTTTTGTCTTTAGTTTTATTCATTTTTAATTTAAGCATTTTATATAAATAAAACAGTCCCCTCCTTGTCTGTCAATGATCTATTTTTTGATACCTGTGTTTGCGTTCTATTTTTTGCTGGTAATTTTTGAACTAGAGCCTTTTATCCAATTTTCTTGAAGAAGATGGGTAGCTAAGCTATTATTTTGTGAACTTATGTCTTGAAGGCCCATGTATTTACTTGTAGTGAATGGCTGGAGTAATGGTCTCAATTTTGGAAAAACTAATGGGCTATTTAAAGGCTGTCAGATTCTAATAAACATTCCTATAGGTTAAAATTTTCATTTCATATCAATTATCCAAACTGGTGTGTATTTTTGTCAACTTTCCTCTCCATATTTATAAGATCCTTGTGTTTTTACACATGATGAGCATTGAGTGAAAAAATATGCACAAGAAAATTCAATATTTCATAACAAATTGATGTCCTTGATATTGGTTTTAAAGTTTTCTGAAAAAAGAAAATTCATGTTCAAGAAGACATCTCGTTTGGTTTTCATGTCTCAGCTTATTGGATAATCAATAACATTACTTTCATGTTGCAACAGCATGTTTGAAATGATATCATATATAGCTGCTGACATGCATAAGTTTTGCCTTTGGAAATGGTTTTATCACATCTAGTTCTGTGCTTTCTTTTTGTGGGGTTTATACAGGTACTGCAAGGCTGAAGCATGTGCCATGTATTCCGCCTTCTGAGGAATCTGATTCGCAGTCTGACACTGTATGCTGTAAGGCCGGAAATAAGATGTGCAACAGTTTGTTGGAACAATCAGAAAACCCACCTTTGGCAGTCATGGAGTGTGATATTTGCTGCACTGAACCTAAGTTCTGTCGTGATTGCTGTTGTATTCTTTGTTGCAAGACTATAAATTCATCATATGGAGGCTATGATTACATTAGATGTGAAGCAATGATGGATGAGAGTTGTATATGTGGGCATGCTGCCCACATTGATTGTGCTCTGAGATGTTACATGGCTGGCACTGTGGGAGGAAGCATTGGGTTGGATTCTGAATACTATTGCAGGCGCTGTGATGCAAGGACAGATCTGGTTTCACATGTCACGAGGATTTTACATACATGTGAATCGCTTGATTCTCGGGATGACATTGAGAAGATTTTAAATCTCGGTGTCTGCATTTTGCGTGGTTCACAAAAAACCAGTGCAAACGAGTTGCTGAAACGTATTGAAGTGGCCATTGCAAAGGTAAAAGTAATAGCTTTATAGTAGTTTATCCTTGTCCACACTTGAGTTCCCAAGGACCAGCAATATAACATTTTGCTATATTGATCAGCTCAAATGTGGGACTTGTCTTGAAGATATTTGGAAAGAGGGAGACAATATTTCAGCTATTTCTATGGGTAATTTTCCCTCTATAAAATCAAGTAATTATGTTATGATGAACAACTTACTAGTTTTTGGGTGCGACTTAAAAATATAAGTAGTAAATTAGTAGCGTGTGCACAAGGTTTTAAAAGTGCATAGTCGTGCAAGAGTATTGAAAATACTATCTCTATTGAAAATACTCTCTCTCTCGTGGAAATTGAAGTGCGTTTCTTTCCCAATGATCCCTTTTCCACTAAATTGCAGTTGCAAGACACAAATATTTATATATATATATATATATCTCTCTCTCTCTCTCTCTCTCTCTCTCTCTGTGTGTGATGGACGGTTATTGTTTAAATACAGATGTCTCTCATCATGGAAATACTGCCCTGGAAGTTACAGCATGCCCTGAGCCCATAGGTGTCAGAACAAGTTCAGAAGTAATGTCTACATCTTTTCATTATCGAACTGAGTCTCAAAAACTTGAGGTAGAGATTGATCAGGTTCTGCAGGCACTAAGAAAGTCACAGGAGTCTGAATTCAGAATGGCGGAGGATAGCCTTCATGCACAAAAGAACTATCTTTGTAATCTGTATCAGCAACTTGAGAAGGAGAAGTCTGATTTGGTACGGTGCACATCACCTGACCCAGATGCTTTACTGAGTACTGTATTGAGCAGAGTGAAGCAGATTAAGGGGGAAGTAAAAAAGCTTAAGGATATGGAACAAGTGGCCAATGGGTTTGGAAAGACTTCTAGAGCTATCCTGAAGGAACACTTCAGTTTAGAAATTGAGGAATGAAGTAAACCCTTACCGGATTATGATGGTTTATTTTCATCATTTGTTCATTAAATTTTGGTCTTGAACTGGCTTCTTCATGGTTTGAACTGAATAACCATATAATTTTCTTGCGATTGTGCTGTCACAGTTGTGTGAGGTTCATATATGAGGGTCTGTATCAGAATGAGCCGGTGCGTGGTGATGAAATGTCATGCCTGGCAGAACAAAGGGATGAAGACCCCGTTGAAGAACCAGAAATCCTTAGTGGCTTATTAAACAAAGTGAATGAGATAAGATGTAAAGGTTGTGGCTCTGTTCTGAGTGATCAAGAAAGACTGACAGTGGATGCTTAAGGAACCCTCCATGCCGAGGTTTGTATCCTATCAGCTCCCTAAGAATCTGTATCTTCTTGCAGTGAACTGATCATTGTGTTTTTCGATGAAATGGCACATGAGAAGTCATTGCAAATACTCTGTTTAAAGCATCAGGCAACTGTGTTCTAGCACACAAGCTTCCCAATTTCCCTGATTAGCAACTTGTTTTTCTTTTTATGTTTTTGTCAAGACGGTTTGCCTGGCCGGGAAGTTGGAAATTTTGGCAATTAGAAACATTTTGGATCGGAACTGCATCTTTTTGTTAGTTCGTCTTGTCTCTGGCTAGAGATCTGCGGAAATGCAAATGTAAACATTGACGTTTCCTGTACACGGTACATATATACAAAATGCAGGAATAAGTTCCTTCAGAATGAAATGGACTATCATTTTTATTCTTTTAATAATTTTGTTGTGTTTATTTATTTTGTTATTTTGTTAATGACTAATCCATAAAACAAAGATTACAACAAAACTCATCAAGAAGTTTTGATTGTTTAGGTTACCAAAGTTCTTTAACCTGATCCTCGGGCACATTTTGGTCCGACGGTGAAATGTGGGGAGATAGAAAGGAAGTAATGATTACTACATGACCCAGTTTGGTTTTTTTTTCCTTAAAGTTTCGAATAATATCTGTGATTTACAATAACTAGTAATTGTCTTAAAGAGGCATTTAGCTTCTGTGAGGCTGTGAAGTTACAGCAATAACCTCTCGTGCTAGTAGCTTGATAAATTAATGAAGGAAATGATGAATGCTGAGACTCCATTGTAAATTTTTTTTTTGACTGATAGCATATCAACATGACTGAATTTGGAGATGCGAAAGCCAAAACCTAGGCAACTTTTACAAAGAAACTAAAGCACAACCCATTCTTAACTCTCAAAGCAAGACATCTCCATAAAAGAATCAGTTGTCTACATTCAGAGAAAATTGCCAGCAAATCCAACCATATCATCCCAAATCCATCCTGGGGCATGCTATGTCTAACCAAGAAAACCTCTGGCTTTCTGATTAATAAATTGAAAGGTTAAAAAAGAAGGAAGAGACAAAAGGAAGAAATGGGCAGTAGCATGTCAAGCAGGAGAATCAGATTCGACATAAAGCATCTTCAAGGCAACTCATCAGTAGCACTCAGCCGATGATCATGATAGTGAGAGAGAGAGGTAATCACAAACGCATCATCGGAAAAACACTAAGAAAAAGGGAGTAAAAGGCTGTATAAGATACTGTTATATATAATCACATTGCAAGACACTGAAAAGCAAAGATACGGCCATCTCATTTAATTGCTAAAAGTGAAAAGTAAAGGGCACGTTTGATAACCATTTCAATTTTAGTTTTTAATTTTCATTTTTGTGCTAGAGTATAGAGGAAAAAGAGGGAAAACGGAATTGAGAATGAGAGTAGAGATGGGATTGAGAGGGAATATGAGAGGGAAGGATGGGAGGGAAGAGTAACAAAAGTGAAAACAAAAACTAAAAACTGAAATCTATTTGAAATTGGTTTCACTTTTGTTACTCCTCCCTCCCATCCTCCATCTCATCCTCTCTCTCAATCTCATCCTCATTCTCACCCTCATTTTCTTCTATACTTTAGCACAAAAAATGAAAACTAAAAACTAAAATTGAAATGGTTATCAAACGTGGAAAATAAATCACTTCAGCTCACATTAGAAAACCGTATATGGATCCTTTAGGTTGACCAGTAGACCATGTACAGACCCACCAAGTGGACCATCCATGGTTCCAATAAGTGGGCCAGAAGCATATATTCTTAACCATGAAGTAATGCAGGCATTGGTTCCTGGTAATTTTTATGCAACAAGGGCAGATAACTTACTTCCACCAAAAGTTCTAAAATGAAATTTTTTTCTTTCAAGGAATTGAAAATCAAGAAAAACAGTCAATTGGATAGCAGAGTCTCCAGAACTAGGTCATAAGAGAACCAAAGCATAATTAAGGCTAAACATTGATCACTGAGAACATGTAAAGAAGGGGATAGGTTGAATAAGTTGAGAGTTTAGATTATAAAGAGAACAAAATATTTGGTGTCTTCAAAATGACATTCTTTCATCCTGTAGGTGAATGAATAATCTTTTCAGAAAACACAAAAAGAGATTCATATAATATGAGGGCAAAGTAAATCTCCAAGAAAACAAAAAGAAAGGTGAGCACAAAGCACTATTTGCCTAGAAACTCAAGTACACTATAATTAAAAATGCTGATCAGAACCCAAAAACCATCATGCACCTGCAAAAGCAACACAAATGAGCTAAATGAATCTAAAGGCCAGCCATTTCAAATACCACCATTGCCAAAACCAACATTTCTTCATTCAACAAGAACAGCATACAACAACTAGTTCCATCAACAACAGCCTCAGAAGCTTAAGTTGCAAGCTAAATTCAACTTCATTGGAACAACTAAAATTATAAACCCCCAAAAGAAAAAAAAGAAGAAAAAATAAGAGAGAATACATTACTGTACAAGCACAAGGCGGTTACCCATACCTCCTCTGAAACCCCCATTCCCATTCCCATCTCCATCACCCCAAACCTCTCCACCGCCATTTCCACCGTCCGAATTCTCGATCCCCTCGGCCTTCGGCACCGTCACGATAAGCTCACCATCGACAAAAACCGCGCTTGCCAACTCGGGCCGAGTCGACTCGGGCAGCCGAAACCTCCACATGTCGAGCTCAAGCTCGTCCAATGTCAATTCCGCCGACCCACTTTCCCGAACCACGATTTTGGTCACACCCGGATAGATTTCGACGGTATGGGCCCTCACGCCGTCGCCGATGTTATCTGTTTCGGCGATAAATCGGAAGCAATCGGGGTTCTCCTCGACCAAAACTTCGGCGTCGGAGCGAAATGGAAGCTCCAGGACCCGACTGAAGACATGAGGCAGGCGGCGGAGCTTCTTGTGGGTCAGACCCAGAAGGGCCTCAGCTTCAGAAAGTGGGTTGCTTGAGTTGTATTGGATGGTGATGTTGCGCTTCTTGGGCATCGGGTGGACCTTCATGGCTTGGGCTTCAATGGCTGTGGTGGAGGTGCAGAAGAAAGAGAGAGATTGAGACAAGATTAATAGAAATATGAAAGATGCCCTTGTGAAAAGGGAAGGCCAATCTTGGGTGGGAATCAAAATCCTGATTGGGTGGTTGTTTTTATGAAAAGAAAGAATCATAAAGGATTGGTGGGAAAATTTGTTTTGGGTATATATGGGTTTTGTTTGCTTTGCTTTGCTTGTTTTGGGATGAGACTTGATGGGAAACTAAAAGAAATACCCTAACCCTAGAAATTGGGTTGAAATGAATTGAATTGAATTGAATTTCCCTATCTGTGTTTGTGTGAGAGATTGAGTCCCCAGAAAAGGCAAAATTCTTTTTAATGTAGAATTTGGAGGAATGGGAAAAGAAATGCTGTTGCAAAGGCAAAGGCAAATGCTGTCAATGAAATCTCCCTTTCTGGGTATGCATAGTGGCTAGAGCCCATAGGGCGAATCACTGCAAATATATATAAAAAATGCAAGGAGGGTTGGGGTTTCATCCTTGGACTTTGCCCAAATTACAATTCTGGCCATTTTATTTTTTGGACCATCCAAAATTTTATAGCTTTTTTTGTACCAAAGAAATCTTTACAGGTCTGATATTATTACTTTTTAAATACAAAGGTTGGGTGTTGTTGTCAGTATATGCATGGTTAATGGGTCATGGCCTCATGGATGTGGAAGCAGCAAAGTGGGTTTAGGCAATGAATGAATAATAGACCTTTTATTTTTGGCAAATACTGTATCAGTTCTTTGTTTTTTGGTGAATATTTTTTCTGTTGAAAGGGACGATAATATATTAAACTCACATACACTATATAGATGCTAGTACTCGAACTCAAAACATTTTTCTTAAAGAAAATTATTCTAAACCATTATACTAGTGGGTCCTTTGTTTGTATCAGTTCATATGACTATGGATTTTATTTTTGTTTTTGGTTTAATGGGAGAAGAGAAAATGGCTCTGTAAAAGAGCAAAAGATAGAACTCTCTGAAAAAATTGATGTCTCTTCTTAAGAGCAAATTCAAGAGCATCTTTTATTCCTAGTGTATATTTCATATTTTGATTTAAAGAAGGAGTGTTGATAGAAAAAGAGGAAATAAGGAAAAAAAGAAAAGAAATATATTCCTTCAATAATATTATAGAATAATATACACGTACATAGGAAGTAGTTTCTTAGTAATCGTAAGTCACTTTCTAAGCTCTAGAGTCGTGACACAATTTAGGGTGTCGTTTTGAATATTTTGGCTTTTTATGTGGAACTTTGCGAACGCGTTTTGGGATTCCCTATGACATTTAGATATTGTGATAACTATTTTTCTTTTTTCTTTTTAAGTATGGTTCATTTAATTTATTTTTATTTTTTATATATTGTTATAAAAATATTAATATAAAAATGGTTTATTTTCTATAGTAATAAAAATATGAACCTTGGTCTTACAAGAACAACAATTAATATAATTAAAAATCAGAAAAATCATGACAATATATATATATATATCTTGCAATTTCATTATTTGTAATAAGGGGTGGGGGGGAATGGGGCCACATGCCTTCTCAAAGGGCACCTTCTTAGAAATTACAGTCCACCTTCAGCCTGGTCTAATAAGTCATGACCATGAGTTGCACTTTCGACTTTGTAGGACACGGTAATTAGAGAAAAGAAATTGAACTTTTGTCACAGAAAACCCTAAACCAAAGCAAAGAAAGATTTATGTGGCTGCTTACATAATTAATTAATTAATTGATAATTTATAGTTTGAAAATTGGCTTTTTACAAAATTTCAAATGCATCAACTCAGCGTGTTTTAAAATTTAAAATTTAAAATTTAAAGATCATAGAAAATACAAGAAAATTTGAGACACGACATGCATCTTTAATGCAATTATATAAAGACACGGAATGAAGGTTCCTTCATCCTTCCCCGAAGGGCGGCCAACTAAAACAAAACTATCTTTAATTTATCATCTCTACAAAGTTTTGGATTAAATTTTGTCTGGTTTCAGATGGCCAAACGCGTGGGGAGGTCCTGCCTGATGCAGACACTACTTGCTGTACCTTTCATTGTATATTTCGCAAAAAGAAAAAAAAGAAACGAGCATATACGGGACATTTTGAAAAACGCAAAAGGAGAGAGAAAAATTTTAAAAGAAGCAAAAATGGACAAAAATGCCCATATATACTATTATAAATATATATATATTTTTTTTTTTTTGTCCTTAAAAAAAATAATTTATTTGAATTAAACCTGAAAATTAGAGGGTGAACGCATTAAAACTAGGGACATTTGGTAATATATTACCAAGGCTTAATATATGCTTACTAGCTTTCCACTACTCTGGAAGCAAGAACACATAAAGTGCTTAACGGGAAAATATGATATGTGCATCTCCAAACCAACCACTTATTTTTGTTCTTGCCCATTGAAGTAGCACTTACATTTACAAGTGCCTATCGAGCCCAGATGGAACTTCACTATTTGATTCTTCAATAATTACACAGCAGTGAAAAGTAAATGACAGTAACTTGCCCGATAGAGTTGTAAAGTTCATAAAGATGCTCTTCCTGAAGGAGGCTGTCAAACACACAAAACACTAGGAAAAAGCAATTTCTAATTCCGTGTAACTCTCCCCTTTGATCTTCTCCACTGTTCAATTGCATTCAACTCGCAGTTACGTTTGTTGGTAGTGCGGTAAGTCTTCTTGATGGTGCATCCGACGCCTACGGTGAGATCTTTTCCGGTTACGAGTGTGTGCTTTCGGGGAACTGCTGGAGGTACTCGGAAGAAGAATCTCCTCACTTGTTGTACTACCAAAAACACAATCAAGCGGGTCTACCATTGAATCAACACCCGAGTTCGTCTACAATAAGAAAAGGCCGAGTCAGTCTACAATAAGAAATTGCTGAGTCAGTATTATAAGGGACCTTTATCATATGCCGAGTCAGTAAGAGTAATTTCCAAAGTTTCAGCAATACCTCAATTCCAAATCATTCTTCTGCACTACCATCATTACTTTAAGAACTACTTTCATCAGTAGTTTAAGGCCATTTTTACTAAGAAAAGAAATTACTCGATAAGTATTCTTACAGGAACTTGTTTGGGATCAAATTTGACCCATTTTTTGTCAGAGACATTTTGGGTGTGTTGGGAATCACTGCCAGAGGTAGTGTTTTGGTTACCATGGGAACCCTTGTCCGAATCACCTTGAGAGTTGCTGTAAAAGTCGCTGTCATTTGTTTCTCGACCATGGGTAATGTTATCACTAAAATAATTCCGATAACGCCACCTTATTGTTGGTTGATCTGAGGTAGCATCATCAAAAACTTTCTCAGAGTAGAACTGTTTAGAGATAAGCCGCATCCTAGAAGGATCATTCTGGTACTTCCTCACCATTCTGTCATTTGAATAACAATTCATAGTTCAAAAATTCAAAGGGAGCATATGTACTCTGATAATTACATAAAAAATCCAAGTATCCCAAGATGTAAAGGGAGCGCATATATTGGTCATATATTAAAATGCATTTTTTCTAGCCTGGATAGATGTACAGTAATATGTACTCGGATAATTACATACACAAATCCAAGTAAACAATGCCAACGATGTAATGGAAGGGCAGACAATAGCTATACGCAGAAATGAAGCTTTTCGTGAATCTAACCATGTAGAGTAAATGACAATGTCTGTGAAAGAGCAGAAGTTTTAAGCAGGTTTGGGCACCACTCCCTTATTTATTACATTTACAACTTAAGAAGCTTACGGGAAAAGATGATGGTGGAAGGCAATATTGAACGGTAAAATGAGTCTGTAGTCTATTTGTCACACTCTCTACATACTGTACTTTACAAGTCAAGGGTGACTTAATTTAAATTTAAAACTAGTGCATGAGAACAACAATAATATACCATGACCTCTCATAATAGACAAAAAACTACTTCCAAGAGAGTTATTTAGATTATGATTCTTATCTACACTCTTTAGAAAAATTTAATTGCAACAAAAATATAACGGGTGACATGAACGGCATCCATTCCAGGCTACTGGCTAGGCCACAAACCTGGATAAACTAGGCTCTTTGAAAACATTGACTTTTAACCTTTTCTTTAAGATGATTTTTAGCCCAGTGCAACTCCCATTAATGGGCTACTTCCCAGACTTCGGAATGATATTGACTTGAATTTGATAATCAAAGGAGGAAAACGAACTACTTAAATTTTCTTAAACTAATAAGTGATGCATAGTGATCTTTGGCTAACTTAGATCAGTAACCATGGCCTGCCAACATGTCTATTCATGAATGCCAGAAGACAATAAGTTTTCCTAGAAAACTGCACCGAGTGAATTCATTACAATCCTAAAAATAAGTAAGGTGACATACATAGTTGCTAACTCCGCCTGCATCCTACTTCCATCCTGAGAAAGAATATGGTTAACACATGAATCTAAGGATCTAGAGAATCTCCACAGTCCAAATAAAGCAGCAGCTCCTGCAGAAGAGTAAAACATGATTTAAATGTGAAATGATGGATAGCTAAGATCATAGATAAATAGATAGATAGTTTAATTCACCTCCTGAAAGGTTGATTCGAATAAGCTTATTCAGCTTTGAAGATGCTGCCATAAAGCAATTGAGATTGTTAAAAAAAGGAAACACAGAAATAAACGAAAATGATGAAAAAGAAGTAATAGCAATCTATATTCACAGTAAACAAAACTTGAATCATTATAGGACCCAAAAAAAGAACCCATGATCTTTTAACCTAAGTTAAAGGCGGCGAAAAAATATACAAAATTGTTTATTAAAGAATCCTACCATATTTTTCACCAGCTCGATCACTCGAATGAGTATGAAAAAAATCCAGTACATTATTGATATGCAGACGGTAAATGACTCTTAAAAGCACCAGGAAATATGTAAGCAGTAGAACTCTCTAAACCATATAATTTCAATTGCGGAACTGATATCCTTTTCCACTTGAATTGTTTCAATAAAAAAGTGAAAATGAGAAAAAGAAGAAAGAGGAAAAAAAAAGAACAAGAAAGCAGATGTATCAATGGATTGCTCTTCTCCAAGCAGGGCAGCCCACATGATTCAATAGACTGTACGTAGTGCAGATCATGTAAACCTTCATTATAGCTTTGTTTTCTAACAAGCAGCCTTGAAACATTATACGCATGAATTTATTGACAGGTGTTCGAATCTATGTGTAGTAATCTGCAGACATCTCATGTTAACTACCTTAAAACTATGGAACAATGAGAAGTCGAACTACTAGTGAACCCATGTTCTCTATCCAAAACCAATCCAAATTGTTAACTAAAAATGACCAAATCAAAAGTGGGTCGTCCTGAATGTGAATTCAAAATGCAAGTCAAATTGGTTCATAATAAAAATTCGTTCACCTGTACCACTACTATTATATCATACAATTACAAGCTTTGGAGAAATCAATGGCATTGCAAAACTCTGACCTCCCAATATTTAAAACACATAGAAACTCATAATTGGAAGATAAAATTTTAAATTTTTTTATAAAAAGAACACAAGAAATCAGAAGAAGAGAAATGTCAAATGAGAGACCTGTCCAGGCAACAGTAGCAGCAGCAAGACCTCCGAATGTAAACTCCCTGACAGCCTTGGACTTGCAAGTTAAAAGAAGCGTTCTTTCTTCAGGCGTCAAATTGACCTGAAACATTATGTACAGCAAAGTTAGCAATTAATGGGCGCTTTTTTGCTACCGTTTCGGCCAACGTGAATTGGCTTTGGGTTTCGAGGATTTTCATACCTTTTTGGACCTGAAATGTTGCTCCAGCTCGAACAGAGCTTCACCCATTTTGCTGTTTTGGGGATTTCGGATCATAATGTATTTTCCCGTATATAGTATGCTATACACTCCAAAACGACATGTCGTTTTTCTGGTAGTCATGCGATTAGATAAACTAAGTGCCTCCTGCTTCCCTCCGTTTTTCTTCCATCATCCCCCAACTTCAAACCAACCACCGTAACTTTGAAGGTTTGAACTTTGAAGAAATATCAATGGCGAAGAAGCCTTGAGTAAACACTCAAGAAACCATTTTCCTTCACTTTCTCACTTCCCAAACACAATGGTAAGCCTTCCCCACACCACTCTAGCTCTCCCTCCAAACCTAAACGCGAACCCGAACCCAAATGCCAACACACCCACAACCCTCTTCACAGCCATATCCTCCTCCAAGAACCTCAGACAGCTCAAACAAGTCCACGCCCAAATCCTAAAATCCAATCTTGACCGCTCCGACGACCTTCTTTTCAATCTCCTTCTCTCCTCTTGTACCCTCTCGCCGAGCCTCCACTACCCTCTCTCAGTCTTCAACCAAATATCGAAACCCCAAACCCATTTGTGCAACAAGCTCCTGCGTGAGTTCTCGCGACGTGCCGAGCCTGATAAGGCGCTTTTGGTTTATGAGAGGATGAGGAGGGAGGATGTGGCTGTGGATAGGTTCAGCTTTCCGCCATTGTTAAAGGCTGTGTCCAGAGCTTCGGCTTTAACTGAAGGGGTGGAGATTCATGGGCTCGCCTTGAAGTTAGGTTTTGATTCGGACCCGTTTGTGGAGACGGCGTTGGTTAGAATGTATGCGGCTTGTGAGAGGATTATGGAGGCACGCTTGGTGTTTGATAAAATGTCTTGCCGAGATGTCGTTGCGTGGAGTATTATGATTAATGGGTATGGTTTCGTTCTAATGTTTCAAGTTATTAAAAAAAAAAATTGGCATCCGAAGGCGATAGAATTACTGTATTAACGTTTTCAAGAGTCCCAAAAGAAGTTTGAAGTTTTGATCTTAAGGAGCCCAGTATCAAGAATTAAGTGTTCACTTAACGGGAAAACAATTTTTGGCATGATTTTCAGCTCTAGATTGTTTCAATCATTCATTAGAATTGAAAGTTCATCTCTTTCATTTGACCTGTGACATTTACAAACAGGTACTGTCAGAGCGGCCTTTTTGACACAGCATTTTACCTCTTTGAAAAGATGAAGAACTCTAACATGGAGCCAGACCCAGATGAGATGATTCTTTCTGCCATTCTTTCTGCTTGCGGTCGCGCTGGAAAGTTAACTTACGGGAAAGCAATCCATGACTTCATTAAGGAGAATGATATCGTGGTTGACTCTCATTTACGAAGCGCTCTTGTCACCATGTATGCAGGTAGTGGCTCTATGGATTTGGCTCAGCAATTGTTTGATAAGACATCACCAAAAGATTTCGTAGTTGCAACTGCCATGGTTTCTGGGTATTCAAAACTAGGGCGGGTTGAGGATGCACGTTTAATTTTTAACCAAATTGTTGAGAAGGACTTGGTGTGTTGGAGTGCTATGATATCTGGTTATGCTGACAGTGATCGACCTCAAGAGGCTCTTAGATTGTTCAATGAAATGGAAGTTTCAGGAGTAAGACCTGATCAGGTCACCATGTTGAGTGTCATTTCAGCTTGTGGTCATCTGGGTGCACTGGATCAAGCCAAGTGGGTCCATTTATATGTTGGCAAGAATGGATTTGGCAGAGTTTTGTCTGTCAACAATGCCCTCATTGATATGTATGCCAAATGTGGGAGCTTGGAAAGAGCAAAAGAGGTATTTGAGAAAATGAGAAGAAGAAACGTAATATCTTGGACCACTATGATTACCGCCTTTGCCATGCATGGGGATGCTAGTAATGCACTAAACTTCTTCAATCAAATGAAAGATGAGAATGTTGAGCCCAATGGGATTACATTTGTGGGCGTGCTTTATGCTTGTAGCCATGCAGGGTTAGTTGAGGAGGGAAGAAAAATCTTTGAATTGATGATCAATGAATACAACATCACTCTGAAACATGAGCACTATGGTTGCATGGTTGACCTCTGTGGTCGTGCTGGTCTCCTGACAGAAGCTCTTGAGGTTATAGAGTCAATGCCGTTTGCACCAAATGTTGTCATCTGGGGATCTTTGATGGCTGCTTGTCAGATTCATGGTGAGATGGAATTGGGAGAATTTGCTGCAAAACAGCTTCTTGAGATGGAACCAGAGCATGATGGAGCCCTTGTGGCCTTATCAAATATTTATGCAAAACAAAGAAGATGGGAAGATGTTGGAATGGTGAGGAAGAAAATGAAAAATAGTGATATCTCTAAGGAGAGGGGATATAGCAGGATAGAGCTAAAAAATGAGGTACATGAGTTTTTAATGGCGGATAGAAGTCATAAACAAGCAGATCAGATCTATAAAAAATTAGATGAGGTAGTCAGTGAGCTAAAGCGGGCTGGTTATACTCCCAACACATCATGCGTTTTGGTTGATTTAGAAGAGGAAGAAAAGAAGGAGGCCATTCTCTTGCACAGTGAGAAGTTGGCTCTTTCTTATGGTTTGATAAGTAAAACGAAAGGTTCTAGCATTCGCATAGTTAAGAATCTCAGGATCTGTGAAGACTGCCATGCTTTCATGAAGTTCGCTTCAAAAGTCTATGAGAGAGAGATTATTGTCAGAGATAGGACTAGGTTTCACCACTACAAACATGGTTTCTGTTCTTGTAAAGACTATTGGTAATGTATTATTTGTTGATATTAAATCAGTGTACTTAATTAATAATTTATTTGAAATTAAAATGTCAATAATGAAAATGTTGGTGCTAAAAAAACTTCTAATATAAAATTTAGAAGAAAAGTAGCCCGAGGATTTGGTCTAATGTTCTTGCTGGTGACTACTTTTTGATTGATTAATGTGTGCATGGCCTCTAATAGTTACGGACACTTCCCTAGAATTGTATTTTCTGGCAATTTGCAGGTGCAACAGCACAAGGAGAAACTTACAAATGCAATAGTTTCAAATGACTTGGTAAGGTAAAACTCTTAAGCAACAAGTCATTATTTTGAGCCATGTTCAAGATATTTCGTTTAGAACAATTTGAGATACTATCTGGATTCATAGAGCCACACAGAAGCTAGTTTCTTGCTAGTTAATCAATATCAGGAAAGCAACAATTTCCTGATTACATTACATTGTTAGGCAACATATACAGGAAAGCAACAATTAATAATTAAGTCAAGAGGTTCCAGAAAACCACAGAACACATGGGGAAATTTCTTTTTTAAGCTTCTCACAAGATATGAGATCTGGATATCTGCTGAGAGAAGACATTGCACCTCCGATGTCCACTGATTCTCTTTAGGTTGGGATTTTGATGTTATATCCTGCAGTAGTTTGAAGGTACTGGTTGTTTCCAAAAGTAGAGCAGAGCCAAAACTTCTGCTTCATACTTCCAAGCATTCTTGACATCCTATTCTTCAAAAAGGCTACTGCAGCTGAAACCAATCTTTGGCCATCAAATGTTGAGCTCCACTGGTACTCAAGAATCCATGTATTCGGATCTAACTGCACAGCTGAGGCACCCCAATTTTTCTGCACCCAGGAAGTGTTTGCCTTTCGAATCACATAGCCAAGCTTTCCATCCGACCACTTCTCAACAACATCGACAATGGGGGTAAGGAAGTAGCATATGTTTGTACATCATGACACAAAACTGAAAAAACATCTCAAGGGCTGACCATACTAAGGCTAATAGAAATGATCTAGCAACAAAGTTTTCAGCTTTACCTCTGTGACTCTGCCGGATAAGATTGTGAAAGACCGGGAAGAAAATCCACTTGTGAGCAACCCTGCGGTCTGCAAAGGCCATCCCCATACGCTCACCTCCTCAATTGCAGATTTATATAATATGCAATGTGAGCTCAGAAGCAAACCATCCTAACAGATCAGAAATTTCAAGTTTTTACCAAAAGGGTTGAACCAAATAAGCTGAAAAAAATTTACTTCAAAAGAAAGAAAGAAACAGAAGAAGTTTGATTACCACGCACCTGACTAATTTCCCACATGGAATTAGAATAGCTGCAATTTGAAACCTTTCCTTGAACAAGACCCTGCACCTCTTTCTGCAAGAACCTCAGCCTCCCATTCAAATCATCCACAACCCAAGATTTTTCACCAACATTTCTCACCATCTCAGGTGACAGAATAGATTTCAAAGCCCCAGAGACCAGATTAGAAACTCCACTCACAGCAAAATAAACCAAGCTTAAACCCAAAATCATTCTCCAAAAATCACACCCAAAACCCCAATTTCTCTCCCTCTTCTTAATCTTTTCCTTCACTTTCAATCTTGCAGACGATTTACGACCCGGGGACTTCGGAATCTGAGGAGAGTTTGATCTGGGTGTGGACAAAACCGAAGCATCAAAAGAGATGGGAGTGAGTTCAACACTGCGGTTGGTCTTGGGCCTTGAAGCTGAGAACTTGGTGAGTGTGCTTTTCTGGGAGCTAAAAGGCATGAGATCAAGAGTGGCATTGATGCTGGCCAAGCACATATCACACTTGCAGTTGGCGTCTTTTCTGCATCCTGGGTAGTAGCAGCTGTCACGATTTTCAGATCGGTCGTCTTCCATGGAGGCGGTGGTGGTGCTCGATCTCACTGAGGATGATGTTGTGGTCGTCGTGGTTGACGAAGATGAGAGGACGGTTTTCATGGCTGCTTGGGTGCTTCGGGGTTTAGGAGAGTGACTTGGTTTCTTAGACGACATGGTCTTTTAGTGTTGTTCAATGCTTACTGTGCGGGGAAGATATGGGTTTTAAATTTCAAAATCCCCAACGGTCATATATGGCATTGGTCAGATACGATTTTTTTTTTTTTTTAAGTATAAGAAGTAAAGTTACCTATATGGCTTTTCAAATTACCATATAGGTAAGCAAAGTAAATTATGAAGAGCCATATTTACTTCATTTCAGATAATATGAGCAAACTATCCCTTATTCATAAATAACAGCAATAATTACACACACTAGCTCATGTATAACTTATGCAAAATCAACTCATAAATTATTTTTTTAAAGAAAATAAAAGCACTTTGTAAAATTATTTAAGATAACTGAATATAATTAATTAGGATTTATTAAGTAATTTATGAAATTAATTAAAATACTTAAATACTAATTATTCATTAAATAAAGAATAATTAATATAATTAAATAAGGCTAAAATATTAATTAAAAATTATTAAACTAAAAAAACTTATTTTTTATTATAAAAATTTAAAAAAATAAAGTCCACAAAATAATTTAAAATAATTAATTACTAGTTATTAAGTTTGATTAAATTAGTAAAATATTTAAATATTAATTATTCACTAAAGAAATAATAATTAAAACATAATTACTAATTAAAAGGCTAAAGTATTACTTAATTACAAAAAAGAAAACCATTTTGTAAAGTCCAGCCGCGCGGCTATACGTTTAAAATACTCGAATATATTTAATTCGTATAGCCGAGCGGCTATACTGTTGTAAACACATTAATACTAAAACGTATAGCCGAACGGCTGATAATAGTATCGCCCCCCCGCCCAAACAATATTTAAATATTTTAAACGTATAGCCACGCGGCCATACGTGATGTAAATATATTTGAATATTTTAACTGTATAGCCGCGCGGCTATATTGTACAAAATGGTTTTTTTTAAAAATTAAACAATACTTTAGCCTTTTTAAATTACTTTAATTATTATTTATTTAATGAATAATTAGTATTTAAATATTTTACTAATTTAATCAATCACTTAATAAATAGTAATTAATGATTTAAAATTATTTGTGGACTTTTTTATTTTTATTTTTTATATAGTTTGTTTAGTTTAATATTTGCAGTTAAGTTAACTTAACCTCATTTAATTATATTAATTATTATTTATGTTTTAATTATTCTTTATTTAATGAATAATTAGTATTTAAGTATTTTAATTAATTTCATAAATTGCTTAATAAATACTAATTAGTTATATTTACTTATCTTAAATAATTTTGTCTCAACAATCAACTGTTTACTAATTCCTCATATTCCTATTTATATCAAGTGAATATGCTAGGCATAAGTTAGGCATAATGCTTATTGTATACTCCTATAGGAATCAGTGCAAATGGTATAATATTTAACATTAACACGAGCATCAGAGTTAATTTTGTTATAACATGAGCATTATTATGTGCTTGTTTTAGTTTATTTCTCCTTTAATGTCCATCTATATCTATAGCCATTTTAATAAAGGAAAACAAGATGCTCGGTTAACTTGTCTCTTGTGCTTTTCCTTCATCCTCCAAAAAGTAGGTGTGCTATTTGCTTTTTTAATAAGAATCCCACGACATCATAGTTGTGTTTGTGTGTGTGAAATCTCCATTTCCTATAGTTTAGACTATCGCTTATATTAAAAAATAAAAAATAAAAATCTATTTTCACAATTCATTTTCTTTTCCTTCTTCATGTATTTAATAGAAAGCATGTGCAAAGTTTGACTAATCTTTCTCGAGAAAATGCTGCTACAAGATGGGGACCTGCATCTTGCTCGTGTTGGTTGAGTTTTGGGTAAATAGAATGTGCTGGAATTGAAATTCCTAGATAATTAAGCAGGCATATATCTGAGGATCTGTGGTTGAGGTGTACAAGTTCTACTCTGAGACTAGATTTCTACGGTTTCTTGCACGTCACACAAAACTTTTGGAATCGGATTGATTCATGACATGATGCTTCTTCATGAGTCGTAGCAGGCATTGACAATTCAGGTCACACATGGCAATGGCATCTTCTAATGCTTTACTAAAATAAAAATAAAAAACAGTACGTCACAAAAAGCACGGTAACAGATCACATGGACCAGACCTAGTGAAAAAATCTGCCCACAATGAACTAGGGAATTTTGATTAGGGTGTCAATGTTATGCGTCAATATTCTCCGTCAAAATATGTATTTTAATTTTTAAAATATATCAACTTTCATTTTGTGTTTCACACATCTGTCTCGTACCAAACTCACACACATTCGCACACGTATTAACAACCGAGAATTGTTGATTAATTAATTGCCAATCAATTATTCACGTTTGTGATTGGATGATGGTTAGTATATAAGATTGTAGAAATTATCTTCCACAACCACTTATTAATTATATTGGGAAAAGTCATGCATTAGGTAATATATTGAGGCTAATGGATCATATTTTGTCAATCAATTAGTCCTTTCTAGTGGAGTGGGAAGTTGACCCATAATTGTTGCAATTCATTTAAATAATGGATAAAGACCAGATATTCTCTTCCTTAGTTATTGGTTTCATAAATCCCCAGGGGAAATATATATCTTCTACATCAAGAAGCATTTCAAGCCCAATCATTCTACATTCTTCCAAACCACTTCAAGCTTTGTTGATGTCTAAACAAGTTTATTTAACTGGCAAGGTAAAACAAAGCTCTCTTGTAAAACAGTGAATGGAATTCTATCTTGAAACAACTTTTAAGTCATCAAAAGAATATCATGATGCTTTAAGAAAAGCAGAATGAGAAGAAAAAAGTCAAAAAGAGAAAACTCAGGCTGTCTCTTGTAAAACAAAGTTAAAAGGGAGAAGAAAAAAAGGGTTTATTTATCTGGTGTTTTGGAAATTAATTTACTAAAGAAAAAGAAGGATGATGGATTTAGTTTCCTCATTCATTTTGGCAGTTTTAATCTCTCTGACCAAGAAAAGAAGAGT